TATCACCATGTTGCCTAAGCATTAGTAATGAGCAAAAACCGTGTTGACACTTTGAATTTTTCAATTTCTTCCTTGTTAGTGTAGTAGGTATGAACGGTGAGCCGAAAGTCGGAAAGCAAAAGCATTAGTTGAGGATAAAGCTTCAGTGGCAAAGAAAGCGAGGGAATCCGTCGACTTCGCGAGAAAGAAGGCTCTCTTGAAGTAGTAGAAATAGAAGTTGTACGAGATTACCATGAAGGATATAGCATGAAAGGGGTATTCGGACGAGATTTCAACTGTTGCAGTTACGCGAAGAGCTGACTACATCAAGCTGAAAATCAGAATTGCCTTCCACTGTCGCTGCCGTCTGCCTTCCACTGTGGGTCATGGCATGTTGTTTAACTCCTTATTTGAGTTCCCTTGTGAATGGCGCAGCCTCTACAACGCCGTTGAAACTCGTCCGCTGTGGGTGTGGCATTCACACGATACAATGTCTGGCCCCTTATCGTGCTCTGTCCAAGTCTCTCGACCAGACATCGGCACATATGGTATCACTAGCAGCCACGAACTCATCCAGTGGTGATTTCTCAGAAACCATTTTATCGGGAACTATGCCTTTTGACGACGGTTTGAGATCTTAATGATTACGAAATCTAGCTGAATGGCACTAATTTTGAGAGGAGACGGAAGTATTTCCTGCTTGTCGAACTGTCCAATCCTTTCATCTTTCAATATTTCAGCTCAAATCAATGATTCTCCCGAAATGCGAGCTGGACGCCGATTATATGGCGATCGTGTCGGTACCAACACTTTCGAGGATTATCACAACGGTTGGAAACAAGAATGCGATTGGCGACATGTTCCCAAATGTCGAGATACTGGAATGGAATGTTGAAGAGTTTTTGCAGCACAGCAGTTGAAAGATTTCCGAACCCCTTTCATGTCTTTCCTATCTTTTCCCATTATTTCCTATCCTTCCGCAATAAAATTTTTCCAAGCAGGTCCTCCAGTAGTTACGTCCTTACAAAGGTTATCAGTAATCCCATGTTGATAGTAACGACAAATATTCGAAAAAAACAACTTTGAACTGAGATTGAGATGATGCCATGACAGAGGTAACAATACCACGTTTGTACTTAAAGGTACAGGTTTGATTGCCTTCGGTCCAATATGGGGAATGATCGAGTGAAACCACCTTTTCTATCCCTTATGACCCAGTAAGGTTGCTTCTACGCTCCACAAAGACCCCAATTGAGTGTCAATGAGCTTGGAGCGCTTGTAAGAACCTCAGCTCACAGAGGTCGAATAGCCGAATCGCGCGACAATTCCTTACCATCAACAATTTGATGAACTGATTGGTGATGAGAACGAATCGTCTTAATCAAGTTTTGATTATAGGCACAGTCCACGATAATTTTTTGGGTGTCTAGTTTGAGGAGAATAAAGGAATTGATAGTACAGAATAGTGTAAAAAAGGAAAAGAAAACGTGAAGACCGACGTATTCTAAGAAATATAAGTCTCCAAAAAAGTAGTAAACTTAGGGGTTGGACGGGATTGTGACAAGAGTTACATGGATGCCGTATGTAGACGAGCTGTCCAAATGTGTGTGCAATTGCGTATAGCTGGCCACAGTAACCTGCAAGGTGCGCTTCCCAGTGCGAATAGCTACAGGCCGTGAGAGCTCGCCCGCCATTGAGTGTGCACGTCGGCTAAGCCGGTTTTGAGACCCTTATTGGGGCCTATCTATTCCGTTTCTCGACCCGACAGCGTCCTTTGTATTATCCACTAATGCTGACTAATGGGTGAATTTCATAATGCAATTAACTTAAAGGCATAGTTCAAGAATGGCTTATGAGATATCACCCTTGGATAAATTTGTGGTCCCTTCGTATACCATATGAGGCGCTGAGGACGGAAAACTGCTTGGGTATGGGTACTTACGTGCGTCGGAGGATGCGCGCGGCGAAGTGCGTGGTGGTTCGAACAATTCTGGCGCCTATCATTGGGGTCCAAACTCGAAGTAGAGTAGTTTAGTAGGGTCAGCTGATACTAATTATCTACTCTACTTCAAATTTGGGCCAAAACGATAGGCGCCAAAGTCGTTTGAATCACCACGCACTTCGCCGCGCGATTTGCCGCGCTCATCCTCGGACGCACGTATGTTCCGTCCCCCAAACTGCCTAGATAGAGCGTGACACAGAGGCAAAGATTGTATCGTGTGTATCTTCGGATGAGTTTCTTCGGCATTGTAGTGGCTACACAGATAACAAGGGAACCTATGTAGGAAGTTCAAATAACTTGTCTTGTCTCATAGCGACAATGAAGGGCGGCAGTTCTATACAGTTCTAGCATGAAGTAGTAAGCTCTTTCTGTAATTGCAACAGCTGAAATCTCATCCGAATACCGTTTCCGTGATAATTCCATCGTGTAATCTCGTCCAATCTCTATTTTCCCTACTTTTGAAGGACCTTATTTTTCTGGTAATCGCTTTCTTCGCTACCAATGAAGTATATTCAACCTATACTTCACTTTTTGGCTAAAAAGGGTTACCTCAAAGTTATCGTGACTGTGCCTTTAAAAAAAGGTAGCCGATACTACAAATACATGGCACTCAGTTGTCTCAAAATCATCTACAGTATAGGAACCCTCGATAGAATAGCCATAAATTCGCCCGCCATTCTCACGCTCGGTCTGATGGGATTGTAAATCAATGGATGTTATTTGTTTACTCTGTAGGCAGATGGGACGATGAACATTACACTGGAACACTATTTGTTCAGCCTTTAATTACTTTTTCAATTACCTTTTCGATTATAAATGGGATAATCAGGGTTCTCCATTCTTCGTGGGATTCGAGTATGTGGCACATTCTAGAACAATTGCCCAGTGTTATTCAGTTGAAAAGAAAAACAAGTCGCAGCCCTCAATGATAGGCTGTGTTATCGGACTTCAACACTGGCGTACACCGCCTTTATAACCGGCTAATCCCAAACATCTGGTCTATCGTTGGCATATGTACAGCCGTGTGAACTTGGTGTTCACAAAGCCATAGACTACATAGCTGATAGTATACTCGAAAACGACAACATCCGAATCAGGCGGTGCTTTTCGATTTTCTTTCCCTACAGCTTTTTGATATTACGTTCGCAGCATATTTTTCAAATTCGTCTTGTTGTCACTTGCAATTTTGTTCCATTTTTCAAATACAGGGCACAGAAACATATTGAAAGCACTGATCGGGTGATACCGGAAGCCATCTGTAGTTTCAAGTCCAGCCTGAGATCAAATAGTTCTCGGAACTCTCATGGATCCTTGGAAGTAACTCATTTTCACAAGCAAACATAAAAGCGTCCTTTTTTAAGCAATCGACAATATGAGGGTAATGAGCTTTTAACGCATCACTCAAGGAAAGTTTTTTGGCGTGCCGGTTTTTATGATCTGTGTTGACAAGACCCATAACGTTTAGGCTGCGAGATTGGCCTTTCTCGCCTCATACCTACCTGCAATATGAAGAGCTCAGAAGGATCCACGTTAACTGGACTCACGGAGCATTTTTGTTCGAAGGACCTAAGGGACAGTTACTGAATAGAATAAAATACCTAATCGGTTTGCCTGAACGACAGAAATTCACAATTTTGAAAGGGGTCAGGATTCGATAATCTCAAGGATTACACATTTGAAAAGAGGAAAATAGTTCACGGGTGACGAAGAAAGCAAAATATTCCGCAGAGTTCATATAAGCTAAGATTCTGAAAAGTACTAGGATTAGGGGGTGTAAAGAGATTACAATGAATGAAATAGCGTGGGAACGGATTTCGGACGAGGTTTCAATCGTTGCAGCTGCGTAAACAAGCGGGTATCTCAAGCCCGAAATGCTCAAAAACACTCCCAGTGTCGCCACAGATCACGACTCATTGCATGAATTTCCAACATGGGTGCTTCATTGCGAATGGTGCAGTCTTCACAACACCCTCTGAACTCGTCTGCCTTTGTGTGTGGACGTAGACGGAAGCCGCCTTCAAACACTTGTTCAGGCCTTTTTTAACCCAATAGCGCCTCTTATGGCATACATGGAGGCTGCAAGCTTTTCCTAGTTGGAAATTTCGGGAAACATTTTTTGGGAAATCTGCCTTAATGGATACTCAAGTCGGGTTAGCGGTACAATGACAGCGACCGACTTGATGACCCTAACAGTTTCTGTTTTCCGCACAATCTGTCCAGTCGTCTTTACTTGCGATTTTAATACCTTTTTTGAATGTCCATTTATGCCTCTATATAACCTCAAGATGAAATTTTCCGCTACTACAATAGAGATAGAGGAGTTTTCAAACAGCCTTCAACCAGACTGAAAGGCTCAACAATAGATTGAGCCGTTAGATTTCCGAGGCAATTTACACGACAATTATGGCACAAAATCAAGTACGTCGGACAAGAATTCCTACTTTGAGACCAAAGTTGTCTGGCACAAAAATTTATTCGAGCCCACATGCTTGATCGGCTGTAGCACTTAAATACAAGGGCGTTTTGCCAGGAAGTAACCATAACATAGTGACTACCTCCCTCTTAAGCTTCCAAACGTTGTTAAGCCTCAGTTTGATCCAATTAATGTCTTCATGATTCCTTTGAAGTAAAAAAATTTCTTTGGAAAATATATGAATTTTGGTCTCAAAAAGACTTTCAGAGAGACTTCATTCGATAATGTACCAGTGAAAGTAAAATGCAATGGAACTAAAAAAGAGAATGTCATCACGAATGCTTGTTTTACAAACATANAATGAAATGTCTCCAATCGAGAAGGAAGTTATGACAGCGATTATGTTCACCTTCTTGTTTCAAATGATGCTGAACAACTGACAACGAGAGAATCGATCCATTGATCACAAAGGAGTAAGTTCGACATTAGCGATTCTGTATCTTCAACCTCTCCTCATAGAACCTAATGACCTCCTGAGGATATCTAAACGCAGAAATTAAGAGCCACTCCTTACTTTGAGAAAAATGAGGAGTAATCGCTTTAGACTCACTTCACGTTTGCTTCTTTGGCAGGTACAAGGTCGGCAGTATGGTCCTTCCATTTAATTAGAAAATGTAGTTCACCGGGCGAATCCGTAAGACCGATAATACGATGAAGCTGTTTCTCCTCACGTTTTTCCGGTGGAGCGGGTTGAGGTTCTTTTTTCTCCACATGAAAAACAAAGAACAACTAAGTTCAAGAACAGTGTAATGATAGTTGCAAAATAGTTTAGATTCTTTTAGGTTAATGCATAACCATTGCGGTTTTTTTTCAGCGAATTTGCTTAAAGTATCGATAGAAATATTTAACTAAAACATGTTCAAATTATTAGTCCGGGACATATCCACCATCTACGTCAAGCACTGCTTCCCATTTGCTAAGCAGTCGAATTCACAGGCGAAGAAGTTTCGATCCTTGGACGCGATCTACGCTTCGACGTCGGCTATCAAGTCATCCATTTTGCCAAAGGTTTTGTTCCCTAGCCTTTTTTTCAACTGACGATTGACGTGATAAACCATAAGAGTTTCTATTGGTCAATAGGGAGAAGCAGATTCCATTCCTTATCGGTCTTGGCTGGCTGTTCTGTCGCCGAGAGGTTCGTTGAGATCAATTTATGACTGTGCCACCTTCCAACCTTTCTTGAAGTAATAGATCATAATGTGGCGTGAATAAAGATCACTTTTTACACATATTTCTGGTAAGGAAAGTAGAGGATTTCTTCTATTTAATCCCCAATTCAATAGTCAATTGATATGAGAGGAAGGAAGCCGCAAAAAAACCCAATGATTATGCATCAACCTATTACTATACATCAGAATCAGGGTATCATGGTGGGACCTGAAGATTACTACACCCTGAAAGTGAATGAAACTTATGGAACAAATCCACGTACAACAGTTCATGAGCACATACCTTGCTACGTTTTCTCTCAAACTCCGCGATTAATTCGTGACATGCTACATTCTCTTCTGGCTCCCAGGTACTTTCTTCAAGTGGGAAACCCTGAAAGAAGGAAAGACATCAGATAAAAAGGGATGAAACTACATATTACAGTGCTCCCTCAATTCAACAACAATTCGTACCTGCCACTTCAACAGATACTCGATTTTCCCATCTTTAGCTTTACGTTTATTTATAACAGCTTCCACAACATAAACATCCTGAAAGGGAGATCTTTGCACAGGAAAAAAAGAGGAAAATGATATCAATGACAAGCTAGCATCAGCAAAAAATCCCATGCCAGAATTGTACGGAAGCGATTAGCCGCGGATGTGTAATGAATATCTATGCCTTTTTTATGCAACGTACAAAGGCCATAGATATGTATGTTATATGTGCATTTCCTCTTCCATCCACCCACTTAAGCATTAGGCAATGCGAGAATTGTGTGAGTAATTAAAAAAACAGCAACGGCACACAGCTGAGTATGCGACACATCCAATACGATTTATTACAGTCCTGCACCTTCCCTAGAATTCAAGTCCGTCTTGTATTGATGCTTGCATGCTTCAAATATTATCACCGATACCGGAATAACTCAAGGTTTAAACACTTCTTCAAACTTTTGTACACCCTTAGAGAGTTAATATGAGGATCACTGGGTGAGTAGTCAAACATTGAAACTACAGTCGCAAGCTTCCCCTTCAATGAAGGCACTGTTCAAAAACGATTTACTTAATCAAAAAAAGAACAAAACTTACATCACCGGAATCCTCATCTTCTTCCTTTCTTTTATCTCTTCCCATCGCTGCAGGTATAGATCTACTATTTACTTACTGAAAAAACGTTAAAAGGTAAACAACGAATAGAGGCGAAAGTGGTACAGGAATGGTTTTAAGAGATGTAGTTGAGGCGGAAGACATACATGAAACGATCCCGATCTCTCAAACTCAGATTACTTTAATAGGCACGAGGGATCCGAATAAGAAAGCAGAACAAATCTCCATGTACATTGAAGGGATTCGCTGTTACAACTAACAGATCAATATCGTGTCCCTTTACTTCTATCCGAACAGCACTTCAGTTTTACCCAAGAACTACCAAGCTCTATGTTACAACAGCATCTCACAAATAGAAATCTAGAACAACAACGCGAGGGAACATAAGAAACTCGCGATGGATCCATTGAAGCCAAGCACGATTTTCAAATTTACAAATGCAAACACAATAGGCGTCAGATTATTTGCGCTTGCTCCTACCACATACAGTACAACTTTCAGCCGTAAATTTAATACGCTGCAGCCTTTGCAGTTTTTGGACCGCCCCATTATCGAGTGAGGTTTTTTAAGTACTATCTATCACTGTCATAGTAGCGTTTTTCGAGTATTAATAATTGATCACTTCCCAGTTGACCAAGGCAGTAGTTTGTGGGTGGTTTGTATTGATTTCGCATTATGCTAGTGCGAAATTAAGGAGTCAGTTGACGTATTTTAGTATCGTTTGGGATTCTCGTCTCAATGCATTTCGTGTTTGTGTATGTATGTGTATGTTTATCCATATTGTTTAAGTAGGACTGCTGTAATGGAGCTACAAATTTTCCTTATTCTATTCTGACCATATTCCAATTTTCGAGTCTTCTTATGAGCTCAAGACGTCTTCCCATGCATTCAGCACCGCCTCTTTTAATTGGATTAGTGCATATCGTTTGCTAATGTTAATTCAAGAAACGCCAAGGAATGAATTCAGCCCAATGTGCTCAATGTAGTGTAAGTCCCGGCTTGGTTTTTGAAGTCGTCATTCATGAAGAACAAAGTAGTTCTATGAAGACACCGCTATTGTTATGTTACTATCTTCTGTTATTTAGCTATATTCGCTTCCACATTCAAATTCGCACTTTGGGGACAAAATAGCTTATATTCCCTTCGTATTGATTTTATCTTTCACAGTAATCTAGAGTATCTACCTTATAAGCCCCGCCTTTTTAGGCTTTCTTCCGTCTCCCACTTGCCTGATTCCCTGTAACAGTGATTGAATAGTAGTAATAGCATACAGAATTATTCAGTAATGCCACCTAAAAAGAAATCTCGTGGAGCTACGACTGCCAAGGGAGAAGGAAGAACCACTCGCTCTGCAGCTAAAAAGGTATCTCCAAAACCCTTCTGCACCCCCTGAGATTTTAGTTTTTTTTTTCGTTTTTGCAATTCGAACTTTATCTCTATAGCAGTAAATTTTCACGTTTCCAGGCTAAATCCGACCACACCGAATCGGAGGGATCAGGATGGTCCGATGAAGAGAAGGCTTTTGATAAGGGACACCTGATGAGTGTCATGAGATATGACTTTGAAGATCTCTTGACAAGTATGTTGCTATATCTATATTGAATCCATGCTCTTCTCGATCCCCTCAGCAGTGCTTCTTATATAGTGTTTTCTTACTTGTGGTAGGTGCTACCAGTACAGCATCAGGAGCGTAAGATTTTTACTTGGCTCTACAGTATCAGAACTCGAGATTTCTGTTTTCTCTGTTGTCGGGCGTTTTTATTTATAGTTCGCTACGTGGCTAGCCTTGTTTATAAGCCTAGTAACTTAGAGGCGGATGGTAACACGACAAAAATAGAATTTTTTGGTGGCTATGTGAAGGTCTTCTTAGTAAGGAACACTACCTCCTTTATTTGTCGGAAAGCTGACGATGACTACATGACGTAGATTCAAAGCTGTTTTATTCTGCTGAGTTCACCTTTCTGCTCCGATCATGTATTCCTGTGNCTAACATTGATATATTCTATTTGTACTTTTTTTCAGACGATCGCTTTGAACATCCCGACCTCATCTCCAAGCTTGATCCAAAAGGTGCGTTCTGGAGTAAATCGGTATACAGTTGGTTTTCAATGAGTGCAGTATCTTACAGATTTCAACCTCGATTATTATGAACGATCCCGTCTAGCAACACCACTCCATTTCGATTGCGATGCGCACGAACTTGGGATGAAGTAAGTCTTATGTAGAACTTCTTTTTCGGCCTCCTAAAGAAGTCATTTTCAACTTTTCGGGTATGGTATTTAATTGGATTTGTTTTGCTGTTTCTGACTTCCTGCTCATAATTTTTGTTCAATTTAATACTGGATTTCACGCTTTGCCAACTTTGATTTTTTCAGACTTTTCCTTCTTTTCATAGTTTCCTTTATACCATTTCTTTTAAGGGTACCAAAAGCTGAAGAGTTCTCGGTAGACGATGTGTTAAGACTCGTCGGTGGAAACCGTATGATCGAGGTGGTCGAAGTTAGCGGTCAAACCAGCGTGAAGATGTGCCTACAAGATTTCATTGATTATTACAAGTAAGTGATAAATAAACAAATTTAAAACCAGTTTTAGTCCCATTTCTTCTTTGAACTTCTAATAAGCGAACTCAACTTCTACTTCTTGTTAGGTTTTATGTGTTTCGATTGGATTCGTTGGTATATTCACACATTTGAGCGTATCTCGATTCCTATAGTCTTTCCCATTAGTTCTTCCGTTGTCTTTTGTCGTATTGGTAGGAGTTTACAACCTTTTCTTCTTTAGAACTCCAAGAGAAGAGCGAACGACACTATATAATGTGCTCTCTTTGGAGTTTTCCAACACAGAGATGGAGGTCAAATTTGGAAAATATTTCTCATGAGCATATTCCTTTGTCAAAATTCAAATCCTTAGACTTTTAGGATATAGTGCAGTCACCGACGCTTGTTCGCCAGATTGACTGGGTTGACAATCACTGGCCAGACGCTCTGCGTCAGCGATACATCACGTTTAACAAGAAAGGACATTATACACCTCATCACACTTACCCCAAAGTACAAAAGTATGTGGTTTGTTGGAAATTATATCGATTTAATCCGCTTTTATGGTTAACCATCTTCCATGAGTGGTATTCTTTTTATTGCATTCTAATTGCTTTCTTCGTTTCAGCTATTGCTTGATGAGTGTTGAACGTTGTTACACAGATTTTCATGTTGACTTCGGAGGCACTTCAGTTTGGTACCATGTACTCAAAGGGCAAAAGGTACTTCATTCATACATTTTTGTTTCAGAACCTCAGCTATAACTTCCAGCTAATGTTGTCACTTTAGATTTTCTGGTTAATTGAACCTAGTCTGACGAATATCCGTCTCTATGAGGAGTTTGTGAAAAACCCGGAGCAAACGGGCTTTTTTGGCCATGTTGTCGACAAGTGCGCTAGGGTGGTTTTGAATCCCGGAACTACGACGATCATACCGTCCGGTAAGAATACACTGTCTTGGTTTCGATTTCTCTTATAATATGCAAAAGCTATGCCCTGATTCAGGATGGATCCATGCTGTATATACGCCGTCTGATAGTCTCGTTTTTGGAGGCAACTTTCTTCATTCACTTCGTTCTGAAATGCAAATCCAAGTGTACCTCAGCGAAAATCGCATCAATGTTGGTTCTCCAGTCTTACATTTTTGAAGTTCTATTATGAGATTTACTTTTTATTTTATTATTTTTATTTTCTTCTCTAGTTTTTTTAGTGGTTCTCGTACCCATTCCATCGGGGGACGGAACTTACGTGCGTCCGAGGATGCGCGCGGCAAATTGCGCGGCGAGGTGCATGGTGATTTGAACGACTCTGGCGCCTATCATTGGGGTCCAAATTTGAAGTAGAGTAGATTGATAGTATCAGCTGATCCTACTAATCTACTGTACTTCAAATTTGGGCCCCAATTGTAGGCGCCAGAGTCGTTCAAATCACCATGCACCTCGCCGCGCAATTTGCCGCGCGCATCC